AGGTCGGGGCGGGGGCAGGGGCAGGCCGGGGCCGGGCCAGGGCGGGCGAGCCTGGCTGGGTGCTCGGGCGGGCGGATGGGCACTCACGCGCAGCCAGCCAGGTCTCCTGGACGCTGCGGTAGGCGCTGAGGTTGCTGGTGAAGCCCAGCTGGGAGATGGAGGCGCCCCGGTCCCGCAGCACGCGGTACTCCGTCCAGCAGTGGTAGATGCCGTAGGCCAGCACGCCCAGCACGCCGAGGATCAGCACCAGCACCAGTGGCCCGGCCACCAGGCGGAGCAGCAGGATGAACAGCAGGCTCAGAATCAGAGCCACCCCCAGGGCACTGCGGGGCGGCGGCGAAGGTCACCCTTCAGAGCCCCCCAAATGCCTTCCCATACCCCGATGCCCTCAGAGTAGACCCCTTTCTTTATAAACCCTGCTGGGCCTGGGTCCATTCTGAGCCCTGGCACCTTCTCCTCTGGCCCTGGCCTCTTTCAGACATGGGGCTGGGGGACCGGTGAGCGGGCAGGGACTCTGGTGACTCACACGAGGATCCAGTACCAGGACTGGGCAAAGTCTTCAAAGATCTTAACACTGATGTCCCGGGCGTTGAGGCTGTCGAGAAGCCCGCTGTGGGGAGAGACGGTCAGGTGTGGCTGTGGGTGGGAGAGGGTGTGGGCAGAGATGGAGGGAGGAGGAGGCCCACCTGATGGAGTCCGGGACGGAGGAATTCTGGATCGTTGGGAAATCGGGTGCAGTGGCGTTGCTCAGAGGGAAGCAGCGGCCCAGCGCTGGAGGGGACAGAGGCTGCTCGCGGGAGGCCAGAGCTTTCCTGGGGGTGTCTGGCCCCACCTGGCTCTAGTGCCCTCAGGGGAGGGTGGGGTGAGGGGCTTCCAGGCAAACAGGACTCCTGCCATGCAGGGCCCAGGACACCCGCCTCCTCGTCTGACCTGCAGCCCTCTGGTCTCAACTCTTGGAACCCCCCCACCGACCTGCCGCCCTCCAACCGCCCTCGCTGGACCCAGGGAGGCCCTGCACACAGGACTGCACCGTGGCGGGGCCAGGTCCCACTGAGCTCCGATGGCCAGGTCTCTGCCCCGGAGACTGACCACGCTCCTGGCCAGGCCTCGGGCCCTGTCATCTGAGCCCACCCTGCTCTTTCCCACCCTACAACTTTGCTCTTCCTGCACCCCTCTCTGGGTGCCTTCCTGCTTCCAGAAATCCTTCCCATTACTCCCAAGGCAGCTCCAGCTCCAGCTCACCTCTTCCAGGAAGCCTTCTCACCCATTCCTATCTCCTGTGGCACCTGCTAGGTGCCCCCAGGGCCAGATTGCCACCCTCACAACTACGATGCCAGGCAGGCTAGCTTTGTCTACGCTCTGAAGATGCGGAGGCCAGGTTCAGAGAGGGTGAGTGATTGGCCCAAGACCACACAGCGGTAGATGTTAGATCCAGATCTATCTGACGCTGGAGCATTCATTCGGGATGATTCCTATTGTACTTACACTGAAAACTAGATACCCTTTTTCATGCTATAATAATAATAAAAAAAAATTGTCTGTTAAAAAAATAACATTTGGGGCTGACAGGTGGTGTGGTGGTTAAGGCGGCTGGAGTCCCACATGGCTGACCACGGTTCGAGTCCAGAACCTGGTAGCTTGCTTTCTCATTTTCCCTCTCTGTCTCTCTCTGGTCAACTTTTAAAAAATAAAATAAAATAATGACAACAAATAAAATTAAATAATGAAAAAAATAACATTTCTGGGGACCAGCAGATGGCATAATGGCTACGGTGCTGGACTCCCATGTAGTCAACTGTGGTTCAAGTCCCAGACCCCGTGGCTTAAACTCACTCTGGGCACACGTGCATGTGTGCCCAAGATCTTGGGAGGAGAATGGAGGAAAAGGGATTGCGATGCGGCCATCTCCCCTGGGGGGTGATTTCTTCCTTTCTGTCTCTCTGTCCTTCTCTGTCTTTCTGGTGAGTGCACGCACCCTATGGCAAAAACTTCTCAAAAAATAAATAAATAAAATAACATTTGTGGGGCTGGCATTAGGGGCGCTGGACTCCCCCATGGCCAACCATGGTTCAAGTCCTGGACCTGGAGGCTTGCTTTCTCACTTTCCTCTCTCTCACTCTGGCCCTCTCTGTTCAAATTAAATAAATAAATAAATAAAGCTAAATAAAATAATTT